GCTTTGTTTCAGCTCGAATATCTTCTGAGTAAATCAGACGCCTTCTGGCACAGCTTGGAAAAAACTTAACGCCCCCCCAAAAAATAAAAATAATAAAAGATTTTACTTTTCTGGTTCTAGTTAAAAAGTGTTGCTTTGTCTCATTCATGCATGTATAAGAAATCCTTGAATCTCCTGTTGCGCTGCCTAAACACTTGCTGGTACAAAGCTCCGCCTATTTGTACAAAGCTCCTCCCTGCAGCTCAGTCCCCAGCCAAGCACCCGCCTGAAGAGCACCCCTCCACCAAAGCATTGTTGTGAAGACGCGCTGAAGTGGAAGTGTCTGAAATGGTAGGAGGTTCTTAAAAAGACAGAGGCCCATTTTAACCCCTTGAGTCCCCTGTTTGGGCCCTTCCTGGACTGGCCCCTTTAACTAATCTCAGGGAAACTCTCTGGTTTTATGACTATTATTGCCAGAAGGGCAATATTGCTCAAATGAAAAACAGCTAAAAAGGTTTAGCTGATTAGATTTAGCTAATTCACTTTACTGCCTCTGTGTTTGCTTTTACACCAATAATAAGTTTCTCCATCTTCACCTTCTGATTGTCACTGTTTTCTTTGGTTGTTCAAATGTCTCCGCTTGTATCTTTCTTTCACTGGCTCAGGGATACGCTTTACTTTCTTTAACTTGAGAAATTTGAGATGCCACGACAGAGCTCTTCTCAATGCACTACATCTGTTGATTGGAGAAGGTACAGACAGAATTTGTGAAAATATAAAGTTGGTTTCAACTAAATAAATTGTCATTGAAATTGGACAAGACAAATTTTATGATTTTCTGTAACAATAAGAGAACTATAGATGTTTCATTTAAAATTGATGATGCAGAGATCTGTAGAGTCAGTGAAGTGAAGTTTCTAGTTGTCATTATTAATGAAAAACTGACATGGAAACATCATATAAATGGTTTAAGAACAAAAATGGCAAAATCAGTTGGAGTCCTGCACAAAGTAAGAGAACTGTTCAATGATAAATCACTGTTTATGTTGCATAACGCTATAATTGTTCCTCATTTAATTTACTGTATTGAAGTCTGGGGTAAAGCTTGTAAAACTATCACAAATCCAATTTTCATTTTACAGAAAAGAGCTATAAGAGTTATTACCAGAAAAAATTACAGCCATCCATCGAATATATGGTTTCATGACTTGAGATTATTAAAATTCAATGATTTGGTTGATCATAATATTTCACTGTTAATGTACAGAGCTCATTAAGGTGTGTTACCTTCCAACACTCAGGTAAATTTTGTTAAAAGAGAGAGTTATTATCTTAAAGGAATTGAAATGTTTGTGAAACCCTGGGTTCGTACGAGCCTGAAGGAGTGATCCACTTTAATCCAGGGAATAAGATTATGGAACAGCATAGAAGATGAGGTTAAAAATGCCAGATCCTTGTATATATTGAAGAGAATGTTAAAAAATAGTATTCTGAAGAAATATGGAGAATTATAAGTGAATTCATGCTTATTGTTGTTTGAGTTGGTGTCTTAATTTTTGTTTTTAATTCATTTTTAAGGGTTTTAAGTTGTTTTGAGTTTTTATTGTATTTTACTTTTCTTTTGAACATATTTTGAGTATAAAAAAGTGGCAGATATTTTAAGATTTCTTCTTCTGCTGCCTTTCATTTCTTTTGATTGTATGTTTTTTTATCTTTGTTAATTTTGTATTACAAATGGAATGAACTACTACTACTACTACTACTACTACTACTACTACTACTACTACTACTACTACTACTAGATGCGTTAACTTCCCATCTATGGGAGATTAGACGCCGTTCTTTTAATATAGCAACATATTCTTGATCTTTCCTCTGGAGGTCCCCTCTCTTTTCTCGTCTATAAATGAAACATAGATCATTTTTTAGGAGCCAAACTGAGTTTTTTTGAGTGGAGACTTGAGTCATTAATATCCTGACTCTGGATTTGACTTGAAAAGCTGTTCAGAGACTTGTGACTTGACTTGGACTTTTATACAATGATTTGGGGCTTGAATTGGACTTGACCCTGTTTACCGACTTGATATTTTACCCAAAATCCAAAGTTTAAAACACTTTTCTATAAAGTGGGCGCTGTTAATAATTTCAGTCATTCCGGTGAAGAAATTTATAGTTATCAGAGGTTAGTACTGATGTTAAAAGCACAACACTATACTTTTAGGTTTTCCTGTTGACAGTGTTTAATCTATTATGTTTTGATTGATATAGATTAATTACATGTCCGAATTATATAACAACACATAGTCAACCGTTGTGATGACATTAGCTGAGAATTTTGTCTGAATGATTCAGCCGTAGGTCAGTAGGGGGCGAACGCAGACATTGAAGAACCATGTATAAATTGATGAACTTCCTGTTTTTTTTTTTTGCCAGTGTTGGTTTCCTGTCAGCTCTGGTGACAATAAACCTCACTCAGATCCAGAATTCTGGTGTTGTATGGTTTGATTCCTTCTACAAATCATTTTATTTAACAGTGGTGTTTTTAATATCGACTTCAGTTTATTGAATGCAAATTTTCTTACAGCGTATTAATAAAGGTGGACCAGTTGTCTTTTTTTCCCACACTCGTATGTGTGCGTGAGCTGCAGCACTGCAAATCAGATTAACTACATTTAAAAAAATGGAAAATTATAGTTTAACAGAAAACTATTTTTGCAGCTAAGTTTATTTAAACTATTCAGTATAAAGGGTGCAATTTTTAAAATCTTTTTAAATACTTTGTAAGTTCATCTGCACATTTCGTCATGATATAAGCTAAATACACGGTCTGTTATTTACATTTCACATATATCTGCAACATTGATTTGGTGTTGTTTTTTACTCAAAGGGACTTGAAATTACAAGTTTCAGACTTGGGACTTGACAGTTGCTTGTCTTGACTTGAGACTTGACTCTGACTTGAGGATAACGACTTGAGACTTACTTGGTCCCACCTCTGGTATTCCATATATGTGTAATCATGTAATCACAGTCTTACATGACTGTAATCTCCTTTAAAAACAAATCAAAGTTTAAACATTGAAAAAAAAACACTTGGATACTCTGAAAAAGAATTTGAAGTGAAGTGAGATTAATGATCCCTTCAACATGATACAAGTTACTCTGATAAAAAGTAGAGGTGTAAGAAAATATCGATACACTGAAATATCGCGATATTTCATTTCCCGATACTGTATCGATATTCTAAAGCCCTGTATTGATTTTTTATTAAGGTTTAAAATGTCAACTTTCCTGCCAGCCGTTCGTTTTTATGTTGTAGTTCAGCCTCTGACCACTAGTTGGCAGCAGTGAGCCAGCCATTTGGCTCCTCTACCTCTTGAGTGCCAGAGAGTAAGGGTAGCATTAGCATTGTAAGTAAACATTAGCTTTTCTTTTTTTTCAGTAAGAGGTTTTTATTTAATAGAATTTTTGGACAAAAAAATCGCAATATATCGCAATATATTGCCTTGCTTACAGTATCGCAATATTTCGGGGTATATCGTATCGTGACCCCTCTGTCATGATATGTATCGTGTCGCCAAATTTTTGCCAATACACAGCCCTAATAAAAAGTAACAAGAATGAAATAAAAATCAGTATAGAGATAATTGTTCATTTACAATAACACAAACTCAGACTAGAACAGTTCTCATTTAATAAGAATGATACACTTTTTCTTGAATAAATTGTGTTTAAACCATCAGCCGGATCTACACGTAAACAGCTGTTCAGTAGAGCAACTTTTGTGTACATTTTCTGAATATGTATGAGTGTTGCATTGTGAGCTCCAGCAGACTTCAGATGGTGCAATTCTGAGCAATAAGTCAGCTGGAGTAGCTTGAAATTGGAGGAAATGTAAAAGCAGGTCAGGATGGGGCTAATGTGGTCATCTTTTTTCTTTTCTTTTTCTATTTTTTTTAAACAGACTCATATTTTTAAAAGTGTGTTTCAGCTGAACTCCACTGGACTGATGTACATGGATCTGTTTGAAAAAAGCTTCCAGAGTTCAGAGTTGATCAACAATCAAACAAGTCAATAAATCAAAGCCTGTTGGTCTCAATCAGGGGCGGAGCTAGACTTTTTGCAAGGGGTGGCCAAGGTGTTTATTAGGGTGGGCACATACAAATAAAGAAAAACACTCTGGATTTTAAAATTAAGATTGCTGCCACAGCTAACTTTAAAACCTATAATTCAGCCATTTTAAACTTCCTGAGTTGAAATCGATTGTTGAGTAGGTAGGGATGATCACATGCTAATTACTAATGCTAATCCCAATTTAAGATAACGACCAATGTCCTGATGCATCTCAATAATCCAGGTAGAAAAATAAAAAAAGTTATATGGATGGTTTCTTCTCTAACAAAAAGACACTTCAGTCTGAGGAGTTTCAGGCAGTGGGCTGTATAAATGCTAACCTCAAATGCTAATTTTACAAGGAGCTATAATTCAGCCATTTTTAAACAGCTAAAAATGTACACAGCTCAGTAGGATCAGAGAACAGTCTGTAACACCTGAATGCAAATACAAAACCCAAGATGACCTGCTTGTCAGTTATTTGGGTGTGGCACTTAGGGTGGCCAATCAGGTGCCAGAGATAGCACTTACTACCTGGCCACCCCTCTGGCTCCGCCCCTGGTCTCTGATCCTTGTGATCCGACGAAAATTACCCAACTTTGGACAGAAATCTGTTTCTTTAGAACATCAATCATTTTAGCTACGACGTGTTCACAAAGGCGTATTGAATTTTTGTGCATATGTTTTCTATATTTAATTTTTTTCTTTTCTCCTTTGTACAGTATTTTCAATATTTCTCATATTTTATACTTATTTGCACCTTTACACCAAAGCAAATTCCTAGTCTGTGAATCCTGTTCACTGACATGGTAATAAATAATAATAAAACTGATTCTGAGAAGTTTACACTTTTTTAAATCCTCACCCCTGCATACTATCATTCTATAATACATATTTATATCATAATAAATGTTACAATATATCAAAGGTTTAAACAATACAGGCTTAGTCTTGTCAATAAACATAAACTGCATCTGATCTAAAATCATTTTATATTATATTTATCTAAATCATCCACTATCTTTACATTTTACTATTTATGTATATCCATCATATATGATATATCTACTATAATTATTTACAAATATTTTTTGCACCTTTTTTGAATATATTCATGCTTGTATATTTTTTGAGCCATACTGTCAGTCCACAGGTCGATATCATTTTCATTGTTTTTTTTTTCATATCTCCCCTTAGATTATACCCTCCTCTTTCTGTAAACAATTCATGAATATTTTTAGGCAGTAGATTAACTTAGAAAAGGTTAGGTAATATAAAGTGCCTAAAGTTGGAGAAACATTTTGGCTTGGGATTGAATAGAACTTCCTGTTGCTGTCTGCTGAATATGAGTTCATATCCTCAAACACAAAGTTGTTCCTTGGTTTGTGTCTCCGTCTAATTGCTGGAGGCCATTCTAAAACAGTCCACCTAATTCTCACAGTAATGAAGAAGCTGCTGATTTGAGGGGAATATATTCAGCTGGACCTGGTGGAGCATGCAGGTGGGCCTGCGAGCACTCAGCTTGGCCCACACGTTTATAATGAATCCACTTCGGTTAGCTGGCACTGTCATAAATATTAAGGAGTTATGGACAGCGCTGCAAGTCTATCAGTGCTGTTCTCC